TGAGAAGTTATAAACCAAAGATTATTGTAATTGCTTTGAAAATTAGAAGCAGGTTTTGTAGAGCAAATTTGGCTTTCTCGGATAATATAGATACTTTGCGCCAACTACTTCACCAGAAAACAACGGCAAAAATAAAATTGCTACAAACTTATGAAACGACCTAATAAAAACACATTATACTTGGAACCTCGATGACTTCCCCTTTTTAAACGCTCATAATGTCTTCAGAGACGAGTGGTATGAAGCAGTGGTAAAGGGCCACTATGACCAGGTCGGACCAAAGTCTGATTTGCTTTTGGCCCAACCAAGGCCTCTATCCTCCGGACGTAAGTGACACCAGAGTGATCTGGGAAATCAAGAGCACTGACTTGGTAATCGCGTGGCCACGCAAGTCACTGTAATAGGCCGCACGCATTCAGTCCCTTTTAACTGCGAGGTAGAGTGCAGTCGGCACATGCGCCCAGAGGGTGTTGCATACGTCGAGTCCCTCATCGTTTATCCACAATGTCTTCGCGATAATCATTCAGCAGATAGGAAGGCATATTTGGTTAGCTCATCCAGCCGCAATTAAATTTGTGCCACAATTTGGATTGACAGTGCAGCTTGAGATCCTTCCCTAATGTAGGATGGTAGTTTATGTTGACAAAAATCTCTCCTATATCTTTTCAAACGGTTTTGTGCTGCTTCAAGTAGCATCACTTGTCAATCTTTTTAGATTTGGTACAGCTTTTTGCAGGCGTTGAAGAGCAGACTTGCTCTGATGCGACGTCTTTGGATCTACATGCGTTTCTTCCTTTTTTGCAATTTATCCTCTGGTGCTAGTCGGAAGTATATAACCTCTTTCTATTGTAAGAACTGCCTGCTCAAGCTATGGAATCTCTCCCGCGATAACAAGTTCACGAACTTTTGCGTAGTACAACTGAAGAACTCATATATCGCGCAGTATCAGTGCTTGAACAATGGCCACAAAATGAAGTTCTTGTAGAGTATCGCCTTGCTGTGCATTTTTACAGAACTGTATTTCTTTTTTTACGGTTGTTCCATAAGTTCGTTGAGTTCGTTTTATATTAGGTTGTTCCATAAGTTCGTTGAGTTTTAGAAATTAAATAAAAGATTTTTGTCACATCTCAGTCAATATTGTATACTCCGCTGTTGCGCACGGGTTTCCGCCACCTCGCCGTCATGTTTTCAGTACACTACAAAAGCTCAGGGAGTCTATCTCGAAAAAAGTGTCGGGACAGCTTTGAGGTCGTCTTAAAAGTTAAAGCAAATGTCGTTTATATAATTTGCGATAGTCCAGAACAGATGACAATCTTATAAGCGAGAACTCAGCAGCACATTGGTTGCTAATGCCCTTATCAGTCAAAGGCAGGGTCAAACGTGGAGTGTGCCACGCCACGCCTGGGGTCGTAGAGGGGTCAGGAAATGGGGGGGGGGGGGTGGCGTTATCAAGGTGATAGTGATGTTAACGACATGACGTTAGTCAACAATACCTGATGGGCCCATTGTGCAAGATCTAGGCAATGCTATTGGCCTATAGTCGTATGCGTACAATGAGCATATTAAAAGAATCCTAAAAGCATAAGAGCATCATTTTTGTGATTAGCATGTCAAATAACTCCTGTGGGTTAGGTTTCAGCGAACCAGATTTCCAAATATTGGGACACTCAAATGAGGTGGTCATTTTCGACCATGTTAACATCGTTTTGAAAGTAAGTAAACTACTTCTTTTTGCCCTCATTACAAGGCACTACTACTTCTTTGCGCACATTAGGAATCCCACTTCAACTAACCTTCATCTTATGAGCAAGCCAAAATTTCGTTTTCCCATTTTCGTCTTCAATTTCTCAGACTAGAGAAAACCAATCAGGCTATCGAATATACTTGTTCTTGCCGCCTTTCTCGCGATTCACGTAATGGCGCAGAACTAGCATATTACCGTAACCCAATATTTTCGCAGTGTTTTCCATTTGCTTGGCTAAGGAAAAACGACTATATCTTTCCCTAGGCCTAAAAAGGTGTGGTGGCCACAGCTTTTTGGGGGTTGTGCCACACGCCATAACTTACCTCCAAAAATAATTTTAGCGAACATAATGTGTACTATCTGATAGCCTTAGCTTGTAGTTTTCATAGGAGTAATTTGGGCCTGATTCATTTTCTTCGCTCTGAGTAAAAGCTGGTGAAAGCACAGCCATTGTAAGCAAAAAATGGGACAAGCGAGATTTTGGCCAGCTTCTAATTCCACAGTTTGATGGTTATTTGAAGCAGGATTTATGGTATGGATAAATAGAGAGTAGTGGTTTGTATTGAGTACAAAAAGAGCTAGCTAATTCGCTTTTGAAATATAGTTAATCATGTTTGAAAATAATCAATTCACTTGGATAGTTCCAGTATTGGGAGCCCTCAGAGTTTGCTCAAACTTGGCCCTGGGAGTTATTCAACATGAAAATTACGAATACGTGCCTAACTATGCATGGTAGAGCCTTTATGTCATGCCTACGGAAAGCAAACGATAGTGGTGGTGAGGAAGGGGAGTCGTATCCGTATGTGTGCCACGCCTCTTACTCGACCCACCTCTTACTCGACCCCGGTTAAAGGACAGTCTAACGAAGTTTGTCGCACTCATATTTTTTTCGTAGAAAAACCCGCTGGACCTGTCTATTGGGCCTTTTCTGCCGCATGGCACCGTTCCGGCGCGGTTGAGTTGTTCGAAGTGTTGGCGGCGTGGCGTTATGGAGCAAAGCTACGCCGCATTCGCTTGCGGTATATCCTAAGGGCCCTTTGCGTTGTGTCGCTCCTAATTGCACCGCAGAGGAGCTAGCGTTACCCAGCGAATCAAGTCATTCTCGAAATTCTTCTTCTGTAAAGAGACCAGAATGCGGAAGTTAAACGAATTTTGAGGATGAAAAAATAGATTCTGAGGAAGAAGTGTTTGATATAAAGGCTTGGAAAGTCAGTAATGAAATTTTCTGTCCCTTTTCTCTACTAATTCTCTTGTTACACTTGGAATCCGTCTTTTATTCTCATCAAGATTCAGCCTTTGCATCCGTAAAATCCATCTATTTTTCGATTCTAACACGTTGACGACCGAGCCATTTTTGACCACCTCAAAACGGACTGATGATCTGCGCCTGCGGTTTGGACTGTTTGACACCTACTGCAATGCCGTGTGTTCTATATGACAACCAGGCCACCAGTGTTACCACTGCATAAAAGTTACCTGAGGACTTTTCGTTTACACATGATAAATTGATGCACGAAAGTGCTAAAAGGTGGTCTGGGCGTGCATACGCGCGGATGCACACGGTCGTCAACGTGCTAAATATCTTTATTGCATTCATGCAGTTTGCACATCTTCTCAAGATGCAGCAATAGGAAATGGCTCAGTTCGTTGTCAGGAGCGGTGTACTCCTGCGGCTGCAATTAAAGGTGACGCAACGCAACTGGCCCTCAGGATATACCGCAGGGGGATGCGGCGCTGCTTTGCTCCATAACGCCTGCCCCCCGAAGTGTTCAACCTTTTTGTTTTTGTCTAGCGATTTTCAGTGCAGTACATCCTGCCCGTCCCACTAAAGTGTTATGTTGAGGACATCCTGTTCAAGCACCAGCCATTTAAAGCAATTTAATCATTTTATCTTATATATAAAGCTGATCTATCTGTCTGCCTGTATGTGTGTCTATACGGTTCCGAATAGAAAACCATTCTCGATCAAACTACGAACACATACACTTCAAAGAGTTTGTCGCAGGCTACTGGTTGTTGATCAACATTGATGTCAACGACTTTTTGCAAAGTTTGAGCTACGGGGCTGAGAGTTGGCACAGAAGGGTGAGCGAAACACTGATACGAATATATTAATGGCACGGCTGGGCGGAGCCGGGTTTCCCGCTAGTGTCTTGTACATGTAAATGTGTAATCGTATTTTTGCTACTCACTCGGCTCTTCTCAATGGTATGCGCATCTTGCCACAAATCGACTGCTTTCCAATAAATTGAGGACGAGAATGAAAACTTCAGAATTTACGAAACCATCTAACATATACCTGAAAGACTAAACACGGTTCCATCACATGTCACAGAATGTCGAGTATTTACGCATATACTAATTCGAGTATCGCCTGCTGCGATGAAACACTCCGTTACAATCAGCAACCTCTTATCTTGGAGCTATTTTCTTTCTTCACACAGCCAAACCTTGCGGGCAGTGGCAAAACTTCGACCTGAAAATTTTCTGCTGTGTTACTTATTTAAAATTGTCTGCGCTAATCTTGAAATCCCTTTTGGAACGCGAAAATGGCGAAAACCAGCATTCTCCATCCATCCAAGTCCATCCATTTTGGATCGAGATTGGAGACACAGAATCGTCGCAGGATCCTCACACTTATACCACAGCGGTATGCGCCTCCAACGGGTAAGGGAGCGATGGCCGCCAGTTTGAGCCGCCTTTCGCGGCTAACTGGTCCTTTTGTAATGTTGGTGCATGTCGTTCTAGGACCAGAGGTACCAGAGGCGACCCAAGCTGGCGGCCTTCGTTCCCCTACCTGTTTCCTTTAATGCACAGAGGTCACAGGTGTGCGATCGGACTTGCTCAGTCTTCGTATTTGGGGGTAACAGCCTACCACAATAACATTCAAAAATCTTTAATTTTGCCGAGCCACTGCCTTTGAACTCAGACAAAGTCCAAAACGTCCTTTTTTCGTTCAAAAAGAACGACTGGCGGTCGCATGCTTGGTGTTGTAACGAGAGCGACCGCCTGCGGGCAGTTGTTTTCACCTCGGCTCAGATGGTCCTGTTCTTCATACCGCAAAACCGCAGCTATTTTCATCTTTTTTTTTGGAAACCTCATATAAACTCTTAGATGTAACGTCTAAAAGAGTGGCTATGAATCAGCGGGGAAATGCAAACTTCGGATAAATTTAACCCCACTAAACGGCCGCTGTAACGTTCTCATCGTCAGAGTGATTTAGAATCGTTCGCAGCTGTCACAATCTCTTTGTTTAGTTTTTCATGGAAAAGTTATAATGGTGTGTTCGATCGAGTCACCAGTCTACACTGGACTGGGCATTAAACTGACAAACATTTACGAATTTCTATCGTCTGCGAATGTCGAAATGGGTCATGTCGAAAAACAATTCACTCCTCCAGAGGATATACAAGAAATGCGAGCGAAGTAAGCTTCTTTCGGATTCAGAATTGATTTATGTTAAAATGGTTTTTCTACAAATTTTAAATATCTAAATTTTATTGATTTTGAGAATACTGTGCCGAAAAATAGCAATTTCCTTACAAATGTGTTTTCGTTCAAATCTTTTGCTGCTTTACTAATCACCCTTTTTTTTACCAGTAAATATCAATCTTGAATTCCTCCACTCCCTCAATATAATTGAGTTTGGGAGACCTAAGAATAATTCAATAAAAGGTCAGAGATTTTTTCACTTTATAATTCCCTAACATCTGCGCATTGATCTCTGCTAAAAAAATGTAGACAATGACTCCGTAACCTCACTTTTACTCTGACCAATTCCAGAGGCTTACCCTGGGTTGTGGCAACATGTCTTCTTGTAATAATCGCACTATCTGCAATTATTTTCTATTACGTTATTGCTGCTGAGTTGTCTGCAGAATTAACACCTTCGACAGCTGCACCGTCAATTGGCTATGAGGTATTGAATTTCTTTTTCAGGTCCAAAAAATTCACACCACAAAGTTCTTGTACCATTTTTCTTCGAATAAAAAATAGCTATTGATGACTTGAACTGGATCTATAAAGCTGTCCAAACTGATAGAATTGATTATTGACTGGAGATAAAAATGATTGAATGAAACGAGGGCGAAAGGACCACTCTTTTTATGACTGACATAATTCGGCCGCTTTATAAAATGAATATGTGAAAGAAAAAGCGTTCAGAAATGAATTACATTTACATACCATTTGATTCAATTGGCTTGGCTTTGGGAAGGCGGAGCTTCGTGGCCCAATCAAGGCTAGGTTATGATCAGAGAGCACTCGTGCGAGAGAGACGCAGGTGCTTCGCAGGCGCGAGCGGCCTTAATTAGGTCACAAAGCCCCGCCTTCCCGAAGCCAGTTGAATCAAAGGTTAGAAAGACTTTTCTGCAAGAAGACTGTACCAAAGATTACAGAATTTTTTTGTTATTATCCGAAAAATTTTTTTCAACAATATTGGGGGACTCAGACAAAAATGTGCACGTATAGAAACTTCCATTCATAGTTCTTTCCATGAATTTTTGAGATTTTGAACTCCATGTTTGTAGCACATACTTGTCACAAGTACGGTGCTATCCACTTCTTATTGAAAATAAAGAAAATTATGGGCTAAATTGAAAATAGATTCCTTTGAACTTTCCCACTTCTCTTTGGCACATGTCAATATGTAGACATTTGCAACCTCTCCTCAACACCCAATCCATCAAAGGTTTTGCTTTTTTGGAGCCTGCGTTACAAACAAAGTGAGCGGAAATTCCGTTTGTGCATCATTTTTTACGGAGGCTTTGCACATTCTTTTTGCTATCGTCACAGTTGTTCGCAGGCAAAAAAAATACGCAGATTTCTTTTTTTGTTCCGGAAAGTTCCACTATCAAGTCCTTAATTAATTAGTCCTAGTCCTAGTTAGTCCTAGTTGGTCCTTAATTAATTAACGTTCATTAAAAAATTGCTAGAAAAACTTTACAAAATGAAATTCTTAGTAAACTCCAGGTTCTCTCTTCTCTGAATCTGGGCATCTTATGTCGTAATTTGATGTAGTAGATGTTTTTTGCCAAGCCCAGATTAGTACGGTGAATCTTAAGTAACTTTCTTTGATTTTTCCGTTTTTTTTATTCTTATCAGTACCTTAGCACAACAAATTTTTCAGGTAGAATTTCTAGAAACAAGCAAACCACCTACTACGGATTTTCCTACAACTGAACCAACGGCGATTTTGGAGGAAGAAAGAGTAAGAGCACAAGAGCTGCAAATTAGTTTAATTGCTTTTAACTTCATATTCACAAATTTTACTTGTTCCATTATTCAGATATTCGCAACAGGTGCACCACCTTTGAAAAGTAATTCGAGGAAATTTCATCATGCTGCGGTGACTTGTCGGAATGAATTTTGTGCTGAAATTGGACGGTAATAGTTATGAGTTTTTGTACTTTTTGTGTTTTTAATTCCCCTCTTCCCCTTCCCATCGTCTGTCTTTTTTTTTGACAGCAAACCTCATTTATGAGACACATAAATTCATTTTGCTCCGAGAATAAACCGTTTGAGTTTTTTTCGAGTGATTTCCATTTCCGAACTTCATTTCTTTTGCAATAAATGCTTTACAAAAGAAACTCATAACATCCTTGACCGCTACATCTTCTTCGACAAATTGTACGTGACGGGTAAACAAGATGTTGATAGCTAACTGAATGACAGCTGCGTGCCTGGAATGACTCAGCTGACAGTTTTTCTTCCGCTTCATGTCCTAAGCATCAGTGTAAAAATACCTCGAGAAGAGGGTGGCAAAGGAACATGTTTGGGGGGGGGGGGGAAGAAATTTAGAATCAATTCTTATCGCCAGCTTGTAATTTTTGCTTATTTCCAGCGATATCCTGATCCGAGATGGAAATGCTGTTGATGCAGCCATAGCGACTGTCATATGTATGGGAGCCGTACATCCGCATGCCACAGGATTTGGTGGAGGACTGATAATGGTTGTGCATGACAGGTTTGTAAAAATAAGTACTCGTGGTGCAAATGCACACTACACGCAATCCAGAATTCGATAAATATAGAAGTACTAGGCCCGCAAAAGAAAGTTATTACGCAACCTAAAAATCCATTTTCTATCTACATTGTCCCTTCTAGGAATGAATATTTCCTAAATTGGCAGATCCTCCAAGAATGGCAGTGTGATTTTTAAATTATTGTAGGAATATACTTCACTTCCGCAGTATGGAAGTCGACCTAGTATTGTATTTCGTAGCCTTTGATTCAACTGGCTTGGCTGCTGGAAGGCGGGGCCTTGTGACATGGTATAGGCCGCTCGTACCCGCAACGTCTGCGTCTCTCCCATGCGTGTGCTCTCTGATCATTACCTAGCCTTAATTAGGTCACGAAGACCCGCCTTCCAGCCGTCAAGCCAGTTGATTCAAAGAGTACATGTTTGTCTTTTGGAAAATGCGTATTTTTGTTCAGTACAAGTTTCCACTTCTTATAAAAGTACCTACGTTTGAAAGGACCACAATCTGTAAGTATCTGCAAAAATTGGACCTCGAAGACATAGGACAACTACAAGAAGAAGCATGATGGGTGCCATAAACAAACTGTGTAAGACCATTTGCTGGTTGCACTATTGTGTATGGTGTAAATGCACTTAACACTTCGAAATCATCAACAGAGACCTAAAGCTGCTGTCACCCAAAGAAGATGGATCAGCTGTGGCGGCGCGGTTTTGGAGGTTTTGAGATGTAAGAGAATGCGTAAAAAATGTATGAGCAGATGGCTTCTTCTTTGAATTCATAATTTGAAAAACTAAGAAAAAGTCGTAGTACATTTTCCTAGGACACTTATGCAAAATAGTCAAGAAATGCAATTTGACTCGAAAATATGCAAGTTATACCCAGTATTATTTGTTTACGAAATGACAATATTTAAAATGGTGCATACAGTTGAAAGAATCAATTTAGTTACAGAATCTATTTATGCTCTATACTTCATCCTTCCCTCTTGTATCATTTGATTTCATATCAATTCTAAATTGGGTTATTCTCAACTCGAGTATTATTATACAATTGAATTGCAGGGCCAGTAACGAGACCGTAGCTATAAATTCACCTTCGATTGCTCCAAGAAGCGCAAGGGAGGAAACATTTCTGGTGAATCCTAATCTAGCTAAATTAGGTAAGTTATTCCACTTCTTCAAAATTTCATTTACTAGGAATCAGAAAAATTCTTCCAAATCTAAGAAAATTATAGATAACTAGAATCCCCAAAGCTTGTCGAACCGCACAATCGTCTAACATGTTTTCAATACGAATTTTCTTGATGCGGCTAAAAAATAAAGATTTTTCTTCTTGTTTTTTGGACATGGTGTCATGTTTGGTACACAGTTATTACTCTCACTATAAGGTTAAAAATATTTGTGAAATTTTGAAGATAAATTCATCAAACAGCCAAAGAATCCACTTTCTGCTTCCTGATGGTAATAGTTGGCTTTTCGCTGAGTTTATTGTCACTAAAATTTTATCTCTTTTTTCAATATCACATCAAGGGTTATTAGAATAAAATAAAATATTAGGTCATTCCGAAAGTAATTTCGCTCTTTTCAAACGGGCGCCACATTTCAAGGAATCAAGATTTTTGAGAGATCTTGGAAGCATTCGATGCAAAATTTCATTCTCTTTCTAATATTTATGAAACTGTTGCAAAGCAGTCAATGAGCTTTCAGAAAATAACCAAAATTTGCGACGTATGCTTTTTGAGATGGTCAAGTTTCACGATTTTTTAGTACTTTCATATCAATCCTCAGAAGGAGTTCAAGTAACGGTTCGATAGAGTGAGCCATATAGAATAAAGTACTACTTTTCTCTTATTCTCGTAGCGCGCCGTAATTTTCTAAAAGATTTTTAAACAGAACCATCGGATTTTGGCAGGCCCGCCTCAGCCACAATCGCATTAAACATCATAACTTTTCGGAATTTGAGACTACCAGGGTGGTGCTATGAGTTAGCATTAATTTTACAAAGCAAGTGAGGGTTTCGGGTTCGAAATATCAGAATTTGTTTTTCGGGTACAGGCTGGGGCTCGCTAAAAAAAGTGAGTTATGATGATTTCTCCCCGGAAACTAAACGAATCGGAAACAAAAAACACCTGTTAGAAAGAGGAGAAAATGCTGCATCGTTAAGTGCCCGAGCTGCACTTCCATTGATGTTCTACGAGGATTTAGCTGCCCAAGTATGAAAATCGGTAGCATCAGTTAAAATTCAGTTAAAAATGTATGACAAGCTAGGGAAAGGAGAAAAAAGCAGTACTGTATTCCGTAAGATTTGCCCTATCGAATCGTTATTTGAAGTCCTTCTGAGGATTGATATAAAAATTTAGAAAAATTGTGAAACTTGACCATCTCAAAAAGCGTAGGTCGCAGATTTTGGTTATTTTCTGAAAGATCATTGATTGTTTTGCAAAATTTCATAACCATTAGAAAGAGAATGAAATTCTGCATCGAATGCTTCCAAGACCTCTCAGAAAGCTTTGTTCCATGAAATGTGGCGCCCGTTTGAAAAAGAGCGAAATTACTTTCGGAATGACCTAATAGCATAAAATAAAATAAAATAATATAAAATAAAATAAAATAAATTGAGCAATATTCTAACCTAGACGCACTGCTGAACCATAGATGGAAACAACACAGTGTATTTTTATTAGCACTTGTTAATTTAGTGCAATAGCACATTTGCGCTTCTACAACGTCTATCCTGCCTTATGTGTTTGTGTTTCTAGGATATTCATCAATAGGTACACCAGGCTTCCTCCATGGTCTATGGACAGCCTATAAACGATTTGGATCCGGTAGGGTAGCATGGCAAGACTTATTGCTGCCTACCGTAAATCTTCTTGAGCGAGGTACGGTACTTGTTGCATGACCTACAAGACCGATAAATTGATTTAGGATATCCCGCTAGCGCAGAGTACATCGCAGCCGTGCGGAGCCGTTTGAATGAGATAAGCTCGGAGAAAAGCATGAAGTAAGAATACGGTAGTAGTGCGTAACGTGGCTTATCCGTCATTTTTGAGTGGTGCCTATACCACGGTAGCGGAGGGTACTGTACTACGAGAATCGGTGCATTTACACTTTCTACGGCGAATCGCAACGGCTTCTGAACCGCTGGAGTTATTCTATAGAGGAGAAATTGCAAATCAAATTATACACGAAATGAAACAGAGAGGTACGCGAAGAATCATGGAACCTTGTTGCAATTGATGGCTGGAGTTTTTTGAAAATTTTTGGTATATTTATTAGGAGGACTATTAACAAAGGCGGACCTGGCAGGTTACGAGTCTAAAATTGAACCACCTCAAAGTGTCTCCCTATCCAATGGGTACACGATAAAGGGACCAACGTCACCTTCAGCATTTCCGGTCATTGCTCTAATCATAGATATGGTCGTAGGTAACGCAAATAAATCAAACTTTATTGATTAGTCTATGGTAGGACTATGGTAGGTAGCTACCATAATCGCTCCGATATTTCTGTCGACGTCGATTATCTGAAAGATCTGCTCGATGCACAGCGTTTAGGATTGGTAGAACTGGAACAGATAGGTAAGAAGAAAAAACCAAAAAATGAGAGAAGGCTCAGTGGTATTGATTTTATTGATCTTCTAGGTGATCCTGTTTTTGCGATACCTGACCCCGTTATAGAAACGTTAGAGGAACGTCGCAACAATTCATCAAATGGTTCAGGGGAGGAAGATGATTCATTGAGCATCGATATCAATGGATTGCTCTGGAAACTGGTAAGAATCATTTCAGTTGTACTACTTCTGATGCTTTCTTTCCAATGACTGCTGGCCAAGTCCGGCAAGCTCCTCCTCATTAGTGGGAAGCCCCGCCCACTTTGCCAAATTCTTCGAAACAAAAAATCATAAACATATGTTGGCCCGTGTAGACTCTAGACCGCCCAATTTGCACACTCGACATGCTACATACACGCTTACCAGTGGCGGTCCCAGGATTTCGGTCCGGGGTGGTGGGGGGAGGGGAGGGAGTTTTTTCCAAATGAAGGTGCATAGCATTAGCCACGCACTCCGAAAATTTTTTAGGGGTGCTTTCCAAAATTTTTGCGGATCCCCAACCCCTAAAATCTGGAAAAGGGGGCGTGGGCTAATTTGGATTTTTAGAAAATTTACAAATAATTTTAATTGTTTACAAGAATAAACAAGTCATTTGCACATCTTTATAACCCATGTAAGTAAATCTCAAAAATTTCGCGACTCATTCTCGGGGGGGGGGGGAGGGCGCCCCGCCCCCCTCGGTCCGCCACTGATGCTTACCTATAGCGGTCCGAGAAATTATCTGAGGGGAAGGGGGGGGGGGAGCGACCCCTTCAGATAATTTGAAATAGCAAAGTGTGTAATACTGCGTTTCGTCCCTTCCCTAAGTTTTTGAGATGCTTTCCACTTTTCAGTGGGCCTACACCTCTGAAAAACCTTTTGAACAAAACTGATGACTTAAATGCTTTGTAAATTTATATGTATATATGTAGTATGCGTAGGCTAATTTCAAAAATCACGGGACCCCTTCTCGAGGAAGGGGGGTGGGAGGGGAGTCTTGCATCGAAATGTGCTTGCGCGAAGAACCTTGGGATTACTGTAGCTTCTCCATATGCTTCAAGGGCCATCAATTTGATTCTTCATCATCATTCTGCTTTTTTGAAATGAATTTTTGCTTCTCCATGTTTCTGTAATCTCCAGAACAAATTTCAATTTTCGAATTTTCAATTTTCATTTTGATTGTCATTAGAACATTTTTTGTTTTCTTTTGGAACATGCATTGTGGCTCATAATCAATTTGCGAAAGATATTCAGAGCCAAGAAGACTATGTCGGTTCACATGTCAACGTCATCGATAGTGGTCATATGGCTGTATCTCTGAGTTCAACTATAAATGAGAAGTACTTAGTTTTTTTTTCTCAAAACAAATGGATTTTTACGGAATTCATGGTTGTTTAGATTTGGATCCGTCCGTCGCTTTGAAAAGGGCGGTTTTGTCTGGAACAATGCCATGTCGGGATTCACTGTTTTTGACAGAGAGGACAGCGAAGATGTGCATGTGAATTCTGTAGAAGGCAGAAAACGACCGCGAACGTCAATGGCACCATTGATGTTGTTCGATCAAGAAGGACAGGTGAGATTGTTATTAGAATCTACCGTTTAGCACGAAATCACTTTTTAGCTCATCGGATGCTATGGCATTACCGGGTCGCTAAATTCTATTCTTGCTCTGGCACAAGTGATTTTACATCGAATACTTTTTGATATGGTACGCCACAATCAGGTCTCTTGAAGTTTTTTTTTGTAAAATTCAATTTTCCTCATCCAGTCATACAAAGTCCATCGAATTTTCTATTTTAAATCATTTTCAAGCTTAGATATGATCTGCTTCTGCTTCAGAGTTCCTAGAAATAGTCCTACTAATAGTCAGTTGAGCTTTCAGAAGTGGATGCTTAGTAGGCTTGCGCGAGCAGTTAGTGAGCCAATCGCTCCATGTCAGCAAGTAAAGTTTTACATTACGCTTTGTCACATAATGAATTCAAATATCTGAAAAATCCGGAGACAAAAAAGTCGTGAAATTCTGGCATGTTCAAGTGATTCAGGGATTTAGCTTGAAACGCATCTTTCGTAAAAGCAGAACGTAATTTTTACTTCTCAATAATCACTCTAGCTAAGAATGATTTTTCCAAATAGAATCTCACAGTGAGTTTATGGAAATTATTTCGTACCCTTCTTTGGAACTTTTAAGCAATATTATTTCCATTTCAAAACACCTACATATAACGTGCTACATTCAACACACCTGATGTTTCCGCGGTAACAAGAGATATCAGCTTTAAATAAAAACGTATTTCCACATCGAATGAGATTTTTTAGGATGTTTAGAACCCATGGTGTTTGTATGTCTAAATATGATTTTTTTTTCCTTTAGGAGTCGGTAAGGTCGATCGACGCGCCACGAATATTTGCTGCTTCTGAAGGAGCTACGTTTGAAAGCGGTTTTCCATTGGTGAGTTTAGCAAAATTTTGTATCTATTGACGATTTATTCGCTATATTGCAGTCTGAATTGTTAACTTCCTCTGGGCAGAATTTTTGATAAGACAGATTTTTTTATCGTCTAACTAGATCGAGGATCTAAAACTATGTTTCACGATTACATAGTTATGACCAGGGTTGAGCTTGAGGTTAGGCGCGCCCGACCTGGGGGGGGGTCGTATTGGTGGTAAAACTGAGGGGGAGGGGTCGTAATCAAGAATCGAATTCGATCAAAACTAAGGAAATACTACGATCGAGTAAGGTGCAGAAAAAGCTATAGACCGATGCATATCACAACTCCAATAGAATTGAAGGAATGACTGTCGTGACAGCATATTAATTGAAGTCCATCGAAGTTTCAACCAGATTTCAGTTCTCCATCTGTTACCTGACACTACTAAGGTCACCAAAGAGGCTTGCCGTGTACATTGATTAAAGTTTCCGTAATTAGCATATTAAATCGCCTCTACTAGCACTACAGACCATTACCTATTACATTTTTTAGCGTTTCCTATCGTTTAAAAAGCCTGAAATTCAACCATGATTAACTTGGTTTCAAAAGTAAAAAAAGTCAGCTCTTTTATATTCATAAGAAAGTAATGTTCCCCATCAGTCTATACTAGAAATTAGAATTCATATCGCTTTCAAATAGTGGGTTAGAAAGTACTGCCAATATCCAAACATCTTGTTTTCACCTTGAGCGCGTCAACTCCGCCGATTACCACAAAGCCGAGACAAGTCGGGCTAAGCTCAAGCACCTACTGTAGAACGTACGAGGTTTGTGCTAGCAAATTACATAAAACTTGGATGAAAAAACGTCTTCGGGGATAAAGTTAATGGGGTCGGGCGCAACCCCTCAAAAGGTCAGGCCGCCTGAGCTTTTGAGGGGTTGCGCCCGACCCCATTAACTTGTCTTTAAAATTCAGAAATCAGTCCACTCCTGGTATGAGTGTTGAGCTCATAGCCTCATTTGCCTCAGTGAAAGTTTGGAGCAAAACGCTTTACTCCTGGGGAAATTCTGGCTCGTTCAATAAGGCGATTCACATCAAAATCCGCCGTCAAATTGCGTGTATTTGTAATGTGCAATCACAGAAAAACGATCACACAGTCTCCTATAATTCAAAAACTTTGCAGGACAGACTCGTCTTCCCCGGAGTGTCACACTCTGAGGTTCCGGAGGTCACACTCTGAGGTTCCGGAGGTGGAGAGGATTAAGAAGGGGTCGTTCGGAGGCTTTCCTGGAGGGGGGGGGGGGGACGGGGGTCGTTTCCGAACGACTTGTGCCTGACCTTTTGCTTACTGGTTCTTAACTCTGGTTATGACTAATAGTTCTTACAATCCTGACTCTTTGCAGAGCATTCTGTCCGAGCTAGGAGCAACAATGTCGCTTGATCCTATGCTTTCAATGGACTCCGTCGTTCATGCTCTCGAACAAAGTCGAAATGGAACTTTGCAAGCCACTTGTGACTTCCGCGACAACATGGATCAGTGCGCTAGAGGGTTTTAATCCATACAGCTTTATTAGAGATTTATTTTAGAACTTTCAAAGATCTGTTCACTTACGGGTACCATTATTTGTATAAATACCTCAAAGATCGAAATGCTAAATAGATTTCATGGACGCATGAAGTGCTTTTAGCTATAGTCTGCTACGCTATGGACTAGCTATTCTTTTAGAATACTGTTAATACTAGAATACTAGAATACTTCTTAGTCTATTTACAAAAGTTTTATAATCAAATCAAGTCTAATTGGGAAGATTACGAAACAGTCACAACGATTCCTTCAAATTGCCAACACTCAAGCGGAAAATGAATTATCTTAAATGTTAGCAAATACATAAATAAAAAGGAACGATTTAGGCGCAGGCAAAAGGAGAAAAAAATTTCCATCGGACAATGTCATTAGGTTCGACTAATGCTGCAAAAGTTGACTTTATGAAATTCTGTCTTGTTTGGAAAAAGAAAGGACGATTAATATTTCGACCTGTCTGTAAACAAAACCTTGAGGGTGAACAGAGCACAAATCATAGAGGGAAAAATATAGAATTTTACATTTCTTTTTTTACAAGGTTTCGCCATTCGAATATGACTTGATAAATGAATTTGATTCTGAAAAATAAGAAATACTTTCAAAAAGGCAATGCAAGTTTTGCTCACATACAGGGTGTCCCAAAAAATGTATCGAACGTTTGATCTTTAATAGCTTCCCTATATGGAAAGCTTTCGCGGATCTTTTAGTGTCATAGGTAGAAGTGGGTTCAGCTTGGATTTACAGTATAAAGCGAACCACCAATTCCTCTTAGATAATGTAGGATTACGGTAGGAATTTTCGACTAATTTTGAATTTCTGACAGGCGAAAACTGCTTCTAAAAAACCGAAGGACGTTGAACTGAGGTTTCCGAAGATGCCGAATTTGATTACAAAGTTTTCCGCTATCGTACTCCTCATCTTCCTACGATAGGCGCACTGTAACTTGATTTTTGGCTTTTTTCCAAAATTTTCTAAATCAACGTTGCAGTTACAAACACGTTGTCAAAAGCCAAAAATTTGGCATTACAGTGCGCATACCGGAGGAATATGAGGAGTACGGTAGCAGAAAACTTTTCAATTAGATTCAGCATCCCCCAAAATCTCGGTTTAACGTCCTTCGGTTTTTTGGAATTTTTAAGAAGCAGTTCTCGCCTGTCAGAAGCTTTAAATTAGTCAAATCTTACCGTAATGCTACAGTAACTAAAAGAAATCGATGATTCGCTCTATACTGTAAATCTAAGCTGAACCCAGCTCTACCGTATGACACTCGAAATTCCGCAAAAACTTTCCATATAGGGAAGTTATTAAAGATCAAACGTTCGATACATTTTTTTGGGACACCTTGCATATGAGTCGATAATTTCAAAATTGTATTTTACACGTTTGTTCACAACTTACAAAGTTGTTTGCAAAACCAATTGGATTTTTTAAGATTTTTTTACTCCTTCGTAGTTTTTGATTCCTGTGTGGCACCTCCACGTTCGAATATTGATGGAAACATTAATATCGAAAGGAAAGTGTATTTTTGTGAAGATAGTTAAACTTCCAGAAACTGGGAGTAGCTGTGTTTTATCGGTAGGTTTTAGTTTTTTCCACCCCTCCTTATCCACTGTTTGCTTTTTGTCTTTACATGGTTTGTGCGCGACGTTGGCGTAAGAAACTGGCTATGGGGATTCGATAATTTGATTATCATGTTGATCGTGCTGTCTATAGGGCGATATGCATTTATAGAGGATGTGCAAACAACCTCAAGTTCAACAGAGCAATGACGCGACGTTAATGCGAGAGAAATCACTTTGATTCCAAATTGAATTATTTACGATAACTATTAGACTCTAAATGCCTTTAACTGTTTAATTTTTGATCTTCAAAAATTGAGTTGTTATTTTTGCTACTTTCGAGAAAAATAATTGATGAATCACAGCCAAGCAGGATTGTCTAAAGAGCCATTTGTTACGAAATTTTGGGAATTGAAAGCAGGCGCATTACCGATTCAACATGGCGGATCGAGGGAGAGGGGGAGGGGACGAGGGCCTCCCTCGAGAATGGGTCGCAAAGTTTTTAAGTATAAAGTAGTAAAAGCGACCTGTTTATACTTGTAAATAATCTAAAGAATTTTTAGAAATTTTTAAAAATTCATATTAATCTTGTAAAAATTTTTCGAAGCACCACGCCCCTCCTTTTCTTAATTTTTGGGGTCCGCAAAAATCCTTAAAAGCATCTCAAAAAATTCTCCGGAGTGCTGGCTAATCCACGCATCTATTTAACAAAAGTTCCCCACCCCCCCCCCCCCACCCTCGAACGATAAAATCCTGGGACTACCACTGCCATCGAGCCTCAATTGTATATTATAATTGATTTCAATGCTTCCTAAGGAAACCTTCACATTTTTTATAAAAAGTACCTGTTCTTCTATTAGCACAAATGGTTAACTGTACCAGCCTGTTAGAAGAAAGACCATATGATGGAACTTGCGACCACAACATCCGTCTCTTTTAAAAGTTCATTATAACCTTAAATTCACTACTTTAGTGTATAACTCATGATTAGACGCACATGACCGGAAAGGATACTTTAACCATCATTTGAGCTGCAATACTTCCCTTTATTTGAGCGCAACTTTCGCTGTATGGTTGTTCTTCGCGGCTGAGAATTATCGAAAAATTACACTTATTCCAATGTTTGAGCTTTCTATCTTGAAAATGTAGAAGTTGCTGTTCTTCACGATTATTGGACAGAATGTGCTTTGGATTAAACTCCGGTTCCGTGTCCTAAAATAGCTTGTCAGACATCCTTAACTGCTTGCCCTTTTACCAAATTCTACTTAAAAGTTGGGTCCATAGAACAACCTCTTGTTTTAGTGATATTCTATTGCAACAACTTTGCCGTTTATAGTAAAGATGCAGTACTTCATTTATGGTCTACAAACTTAGAACTTGTCTAATGAGTCATGTGTTGTTTTATGTTTTGATGGTTGCTCGTTGACCTTTAGGGTTCACCAATTGCACAGTTGCTTATGATTGTGTTTATATAGAAGACAAAAAGTTTCAAAACAGTTATTTTATGTCATTTTATAGTTATTATTTCAATGTTATTTCCGTACGAATTAACTTCCTTCTGCTTGAAAATTCCTATAATTCTCATATTAAGCAGTAAAATTAAAATTGGCATAGGGACATGTAGTACTTTTTATGGGCATCGACAAAAGATTTAACCATTACCGCAGACTTTAGGACCACGATAAATTTGTTCAACACCTTGTAGCCTCTGAATAAATCGCAGCAACTTCATCTGTTCATTTCTTTTTTTCTTTTGCAAGTCCAATTGTGATAAAGCAAATTGTCCTATCAGTTAATCGAAAAAAAACCTCGTAAAACAGAGCAGTGAAATTGTACAAATAACCCGGTATCTTAACTAAAATAGATTATTTTGTTCAGTGAAAATGTCGGAGAACAAACTGATGGAATGCTTCTTCCTCGAAACATTATGTCCATAGATTGTGCAGCTGGATTTTCACTCCTTTGAAATGCTAAAAGGGCTCCTCAGACAACGTTCTGACAGGCCCCCACCACCTATTCGACAAAATTTTCGTAGACAACCATCGAGATGACGAATGCTATCTATTCTTTCTTCTTCTTTGCTTACAGTAGGTGCAAAAAATGAATAGCAACGCAATTTTTCTACTGTGCCGTAGACATGGTGACATCACTTTCAAAGACAAGCAAGGTGCATAAACATTGTTTTGCAAGTTACAAGTGGTCCACTTCCACCATGGTTTGTTTTCGTCAGTAAATAGGTAGTGCACAATTGCACAAAAACACAACTTTTACTGGCAACTAATCAAAGTACTTGGAGTCATAAAAAATTTGGAAAAACAGGACCAGAGGCAGAATTATTTTTCGGTACCCCAGGGATTGAATATTTGGGCTCAGCTGCAATATTAATCGTAAGAAAGAACGCAGGAAAGGAGAGGGATGATTACGATGACCTTTTCTAGTTCTCTTTAATGCTTCTGATAAAAGGTCTTATCCAACGCACATTCTCAATTTCACCTGATCTCCGACTGCGCGAAACACAGAGATCACTTACACTTTGCGAACGCTTTGTTTTGGGTTCGTATCCGATGTGGACACATGACCAAAAAACAGATATCATATGATTTTTTCAAGAGGTTAATGACCAATGCTAGCGCAAGAGATCGGTGCATTCGAAAAAAAACAGAAGTTGGGTTTTTTCGGAATTCAAAGGTTGAGGACACTTCTTAACTCGCAAAAAAAGTCGTCAATGACGAAGTGATCCAGAAGCAATGTATATAATTGATTTATATTAGCTGATTGTTACTGTTTTCCCAATCTTGCATCGAGTATTTGTTCATATTACTGTTTACTGCACACTATTTTTTGATGTTGTAATGGTACATTTTTTGAGCAAACTTTGTTTTGCTTTCTGTAACGCTTATCTTATCACCTACGTTTCTTTTCTCTTAAGATATATTCTAAAAGCTAAGTTTTATCAGATATTTCTCTGTATACGAGGAGCTCACACCTCTGTAAGATCATGCTTTTACCAAGTGACTATAAATCCATAGTGATCCCAAGCTCCAAGTTCAAGTACCTTGGTAGAGAAGAACTTTCAGAGTGTAAGAAAGTAAGAAAGCTAGAGAGTTGAAGAATAAACTTATTTATGAACTAGTCTGACCACACTCGCAGTCCTGCGTGGCCAGGGCTCGGCACGAGCTGGCACCAGGGAAATTTCAAAACGAAGTCCCGTTTGATATTGAAAATTTCGTACGAAGTCCCTTTTGACCTGTTTTGAAAACCCTCATCATTTTTATAACATGTAAAAAATGCAGTAGTGTTTTCATGCATTTCTGATTTCATGAAAGAACTTTTCATAGCTTTCTGAGCTTTTTAAGTGGTCGATTCACATCTCGAAAAGCAGAAAAAGCCGATTTTTCGACTGTGGAGCGGACCGAGTGGTTTTCAAATTGCTATAAAACGCTGAAAAGAGAACATTATGAAACTGTTTCTTCTCCGTATGTAATCTTTTACAGTGTAGATACATTTTATGTAAAAAAGTATGAAAACTTATGTGAGCAAAGTGTCGGTGCCAGCTCAGCTGGCACCCAGCTGGCACGGTGCCAGCTAATTCAGAAAAAAGTTCGGCACAGCTTTCATTCACATAAGTTTTCATAAATTTTTGGCCCGTAGTTCCGGTCCACCAACGCGCATGCCCACACCAAATTTGGTGTCATACTATTGCGTATTGACTGAAAACAACGCCTTTGTTTGTTGATGGACAGCTTGCCAATGGCATGCCGGTGGCATGCCGGCGGCATTTTTGCGGCAGTTCTCCGCCTCGGCCCCTGTAGGAACGATATCCCTTTTGCTTCCCGCCCTAAAAACGATATCCAGCTTGACCCGGTGCCAGCTGTGCTGATCCCTGTGCGTGGCAGACGACCAAGTATAAGCGCAAGTCCTAGGCAAAAAGAAAATTCTTTTCTACAAAAACAAACTTTCCTCAAGCACCTTGTGGGATACCCCGTTCTAGGGTGTTCGGTCAAAGATGTCCAGGAAAAACTTGCGAACCCTATGCTTTGGTCATACATTCCATCAGCGCGATATGATATATAGTCATCACCTTGCTGCTGTTCAAGTTTTCAGCTTTAAGGTTAGGCACGGGTGGCACACGAGCAACTGGATATCGTTCAATGGATACATAGAAGGAATATGGTGAGTAGGTTTCCAGCATTTAGGTCAACAAGAAATTCAAGGCTTACAAGGGCTGTGGCCATCATTTGTGTTCTCTGACACTGCTCGTTAAGACTGCATAAGTCATATACATTGCATGAAATGAAGCCAAGTGGCTTGTTTACGGCGAACGTGATATGAGGCCAAACTTGGTAAATGTATGCTCATATGGGGCCTCAAACCAAGTGAAAACTTACACTGATGTGGACGGAGCTTGTGTAAGCTTCTCATTGTCCGAAATTGGCTGTGACGCTGCATCTAAGTGCCACCTAGGGTGGCGTCAATGAGTAGCTATTTTTGGCCTTCGCTCAGTATAATTTCTCTAATTTTTCAGTATAATTGCTTTTACGCAATTCAGGAGGAGTGTACATTTTGAGTTTAAGCTCTATAGAAATCTACTTATGAGTACGAAAGCTTAAGCCATCCCAAGCGTCGTCTTCTCCAACCGTTTTTAGCTAATTTTTTCGCCGTTTTCTTTGTTTCCCTGCAGCCCACATTATCGTTCGATGTTAAATTTTTCGAACTGTCTCAGACACCTAGGTATCTACGTAGCATTGTCAAAATCATCAAAAGCCATCTTGCGTTGAGCCCTGGTCTCCCTGTTCGCCATGCTTTGCTTGTGCCTCGCCTCTATGCGAACCGCGTCGCAGCGATGGACGCACCTCACGCTTCGTCTGCGTACCTGCTACAAGATTGCAGTACACAGGATGTGCAAGAAGGGCAGAATATAAGGAAGAAATTTTGCTTTATCTAGTTCATTTATTGTGCTTTCTCTAAGAGAATTCAACAGTTCAAAAAAATCTAAAAGCACGTACAGTTTTTTAGCTTAATTAGAGAAATATGTCCTTCAATTAAGGTGAAGAATCAAGGAAAAAGCAGTCCGTTCACTTGACCACGTGATTCTAGTCTTTCGATCTTTATACCCTCTGAACTATGATTTGCTTGCAAGTTTGGTTCTTGCAAAATGCGTCGCCAATGTCATCGAATTTCGCCACTTCCTAATCAAATTAGCTGCGAACGCAAAATCCCATCTTCGGTAAAGCGATTTGACGATGTGAAAGCGACGAAAGGCGTTAGGAGACTAAATGTTTGTCATCAGTTTCCTCTCTGCAGCTAAAAGGAATCGAACATGTCATCTTATTTGTAAAAGGAAGAATGTTTTCGCAAGAAACGAGTCGTTATTCTTTACCGGCCTTGAAAGACCGCAAATTTACTGAGAACCTTTCGAATTTCTTTTCTCCTTTGAGTTTTGAATTTTCAATTCTACAGATCACTAAGAGAATGAGACTACTGTTTGAAAAAACTGTTTTAAACTATTACTAGGTGCTTTCGCCATAGTCATAAAATCATTGAGCAAGGACGTTTGATTTCTACGATCTGTTTTTCTAAATTTCACAAATAAGAGGGGCGCCATGGTCTCTAAACCCAAAATCACGTGAGATGGCGTCAATTTGAAGGCAAATGGTGCCAAAGTGGTATAGTTACTGTGCCATATCAAGAAACTTGTGAGCTTATGATTCGTCGTTCAAGTCAAAAACTCCGTCTTCAACTTCTTTGAACAAAACTTTTTGTACCAAACATCCATTTTGCCATTTGGGTGTCATTTGAGTGCCATTTGAGCTACTGTAAACCCTAGACAGTCATCTTCATAGAAACACCAGCCTACTTCTAGGTTCATGGTTTGTCGGTATCGGTGTCCAAATTCATAACCTGGGAAGGCTATCAGGCCCAAGGCATACGATTTCAGACGCAGCGCGATCTGGCAATTTGCCAGATGTCTCCAAATACAATACTGATAGACCCCCGGCAAAGCATCTACGATTTTCGTAGGTTGATAAAAGCCTCATCTTCCGTAAATTGAGAAATCCCTTACGATGAGTTATGACCAATCGGAACATTGCCAAATCGCGCATGAAATTTTATGAGGTATATTTTGGGCCTCAAGCGAATATGATGAGGAACATCTTATTCCAGACGATTAGGATCATTTCAGTTAGTAGCCTTTTGAAGGAGAAATTCTCTTATTTATTGAGGTCGTTGACATTATACTGAGCTTTTATTTTCAGCAGTCATTCAATGTGCACCAATCTCGCTTATTTTTGAATATTTCTCAAATTCTGATTCTCAAAATTGAGTACATGGCTGTTCTTGCTACTAATTTTGCACAAATAGCTGTTCCATCATTCTATGGTATGTTCGTCGATGTTTTTGTCGAATGTCGTCAACCTGAACGGGGGGGGGGGGGGGGAGGGGAGGGCGTGGAGTGCGTCAATCAGTGCACGTGGGGGTTGGTGGGTGGGCATGCTCATCTTGGCCCTATAAAAGCAAAGTCAATGTCTGACATTGTTGTCAACGATCAACTTAGTGCTGCTGATTGGTCTTGTCGTTTCATTGGTCCATAATCTTCGCTTTAGGTCATGTTTACTGTCTACACTCATCTCCGCCCGAAACAATTCGTCCCCGTTGTTGTAAAATCATTTTTTCGCGTGCTTTTCTCGTGTTACCTTTTTTCATACTTGCTGCGTTCTGTACCAACTCAACTATTTTCTTCCAGAAAATGAAGATATCCGACTCAGTTATGGCTCTGATTGGCGATTTTGCCGCAATGAAGCGTACCCCTGACTATGTACCATCGGCTGCCAGTGTAAAACCTGAGCTCGAAAATAAAAGGAAACCAAGCATTCCAAAAGTGGAAACTGAACGCAGGCACTCATTGCTGATTAGTGTTGGAACGGTGAGTAATATTGCACTTTCATATATCGTTTTTTGTGTCCTATTTTTACAAAGATCTTGAAAACTGCTTGATTTACTTGAGACCTGATGGACCGCAAACACCATCGAAATGGCCATCCCATCGTTTTGCAGTGAAAAAAATTTGAACGAAAATAATTTTTGAGAACGCTTTCAACTGTATCCAAAACAGTCTTTCAAAGCATTTAACAAGTCTAAAGATCCTCAGAGAAGCAAGAGTTTTCCTTCGGCAGCTTGTCAAGTTTGTACAAAATCCCAGGTTTCAAAAATTCAAACTCGGAGTATTCCTTTGGCAGCTTGCCAGCCTTTCACGAAATTTCAGAACCTATAATCTCTCCTGTCCTTTTTTTTGGCGACTTGTCGATATGAACGAGATTCCAGGTTTCAAAGATTTCCAAACAACTCAAAATTTTTTCTGGCAACTTGCCAAGTTTGAACGGAACAGTTTTCAAAAAGTTGCGGATTGCTTAAGGTCTCAACTCCTTTGGCAGCTTGGATCAAAAACCCTTTTCAAAAGAGTGCATATTTTTACTTTGGCCGGTTACTTGAAATTTATATGGAGCTTTATTTTATTCCCACAATTTTTGCAGATTTTCTTCCATTTCAAAGGGTGTTATTCAATACCCCAGTCAGTTTGTTGCAAAAAAAGGGAAAGGGTTGGTTTAGCTTTTTTTGGAATGATTTGATAAAAAACTGCACTGATCTAACCCAATTCTTGCTCTTAAAGTAAATAATAGTTCTTTGCCGTCCATGTTTCTCGGCCACTCCATTACAGTCAAATTCCAAAGTGACAACTTTGACATCTCAACAACGCAAGTTACAGTACTAGATCTAGTTTTTACCATTGTTTTTACACCGAGCGAGCAAAAATCGTCTACAAAATGACGATAATGGCTAAGGTTAAGAAAAAATTGGCGTAAACACACGATGAGTGGTCGGAACGTGATGCGTCAAGGTCATCTTGGGGAACAGGAAAAGCGGTCATATGTACCCATTTTCTCCCCGTTAAGCAATTTTTGCGCAATCATGCAAAAGCACGTGGAGAAGCCACAAATTCTAAGATATTCAGATAAAGGTGTAAGGACGGTTGAGGGACATTTTGTAGAAATTTTGAAGCAAAATTGCGAAAAAATTATACATCTCTCAGAGCAGAATTTAGAAAGTTGTATCACGATAATTCATGGAGAAAATAAATTTTTAAATAAATTTAAAGTAATTTTTTTATAAATTAATAACAATGATTGTTATCTCTGTACTCATCCATGGTGATAATATGTACCAAACAGCACCAGCCATGGATCCCTATTTTATTCGATAAACCCCCGTTATCTTTTAGAGACCTCATTTTCTTATTTTCAGCAAGAGGTTCCGAAACTCAACCACCGTGTTCGATCCGAATCTGTTTGTGGCTGCCCTCCAAATATCGAAGCCAAACTCTACAATAAAGCTAATAGAAGGTACGTTTTTACCATTTTGAAGCTCAGAGCTCATAAGTATTTTTTTCAGGATTTTTAGGGAGTAAAAATCGTTTTTCAGGCTTTCTGCACCTTGCATCTCAACGGCAGCCGAGTCGAATATTTTACGGAAGAAATTGCAGAAACTCAAGGAAGAAAAAACTTTGGACTCCGATACCACCACGCTAAAAGAGGTAAGCACTTGTTCACCTGTTACTGAACAATAACAAAAATGATGGTTACTATACAATTTCGAAAAAACTCGTCCAAGAGCTGTAGCTAAAACGGTTTCGTTTTCTTACTTGAAAATAGAATACGCACTAACTCTCCACTTCTTACGGACCAAAAAAGTATGTGAACTCGTGCTATCCCGAGAAAACTCGCCCAAAAGTTCTAGCTAGAGGGGTGTGGTTGTCTCACATGGATGATAATACGGAGATAGGATTATCTTCGTGTTGAAGAGTCGTCGTCGTTCAGGCGAAAGTTCTGTCTCTGTCTAGAGGGTGGTAAACAAAGTAATGTGAAATTAGGAACAGGTTAATAATGGGTGGAAGTCTATATATCAGTTGACATGACAAACTATCATAATGTGAAAATACAAAGATCGAAAAAATAGGGAAAACAGCTCAAAAATTTACGATAAAATTCTCTAAAAATTTTTTAGGAAGACGAAGACGAAATCCGTGCTGAACTGGCCCAACGGCGAATCTCAACAGGAAGTGCTGTGTACAGAGTCTAAAAGACACTTTACCGTAACGCTACCGTATCCTCTAGATCGTAAGATGTTGCTGTTGTACATACATGTGACCCGCTTTATGCACATATACCTCCGGGTGTGATAATACCCTATGAAAATGAATGCACATATCCCTTATGTTTTGTAGTTGTTGATTTATTGATTGATATCGATTGATGTAACAATGCTGAATCTCAACATTTATTATTATTTTATAAAATAAAAATTCGAGTGAAGAGCAAAATTTAAACATCGAAGATTTTTATAATCCAAAAAGCTCAGAACAAGGCAACTCTGTAGGAGCGGAATGTATGAGGCGTAAAAGTAGACGGAATGGGAACAGTCTGTGTAAATACACCAAGTTGGCAACGCTTACAGGCAATGACGGATTTTGACAGACTGTTCGAGATTCTCTGAGGGACTCCGAGGTGTAGCGGACGAGTTGTCCGCTTTGAAGATCATTGAGTGGCTAATCTCTAGACTTGGCCGTGTAGTACATCCAGTATATCAGATTGCAAAACGTGAAACTGATCGGGAAGAGTTTCTGGCAGAATCTGAAAGAAAGCGCTGAAGTGCGTAGTCGTTCGCAGTGTGCGTTGAGCCTATGGCCCGTAGTAAAGCTCGGTCATGGGAGATTATCTCCCCTGAGACCTTCATGTGAGGTTCTGTCAGTAAAATGACGACCGCCCATTTCCCCATGCTATAGGGATGCAACATCACCTGAGAGGTGAGCCTCAGGTGAAGTTCGGCAGGGAGATGATCTCCCTGCCGGGTCATGGGAGATGATATGAGCGATGATGTCCAGAAATAGTGTTCTAAAGAGGAAACGCAGAGAAAATCTTCGTAAGTTGCTCCTGAGTAACTTACGATACACAGCAATTTGGCTAACACTGCAGACAAAATCGGCGCAAAATTGCACAACCGCGCTCGAAAAGGAGAGGATCGATGAACAGCTGATTTTGGCGAGGAAGACAGAAAAAACAAATTCTTCTCTTTTTTTTGTAAACTTTACTGGTTTTTTTTGAAGCTGTCCAAAACGAGGCTCATTTGTTCATTTCATTGAATTCACGTTGCAACCATTTCGTTTTGTCGCAAAATTTTCGTAACGAAATGCTTTTTTGTTTTATCTTTACGTTTGCTAGGCGAAATCCTTGATAGCGGTCATCATCGATTGGATAGTGGCTGCTATCAAAGATTGCCCGGCGATGCAGCAAAAGTTGTGTCGCTAGGCGGAGTCGAACCACGGCCGCGCGCATGTAGTTCCAATGGCTTACCCATTTAACCAAATCGAATCGAGCACCTGTTTTTTCGAGAACGCACTTGATTATAGTGCCCAGGAAGCGATCTCCATCCAGATCAATAGCTCGCCGGATGCTGAACTGAGGCGCCAAGATATCAACTCCGGTCCGCCTCAGGGGAGATGCCGTGACGGTAGTTTACTACGGGCCTATGAGTCGCAGTGCTATAGGACATTCAATCTATACTTGCTGCAGCTAACAGTTTGATTTGAGGCACGTATTATGCGAATGTTTTAATGCACCACGGCTCAAAGGCGTCAACGCTGCGAACGCTTGCGCACTAATATTGGATTTCTGAAGTGGGAAAGAGTGATGATTTTTGAAAAAGGATGGGTTTTACCTGTCCATATCTTCACCAGTCCATTTGTGAAATATTTTCCCGCCTAATCGCCGCCGCTTACGTGATGCTTTCCGTTGTCGAACAAATACCAGCATCTGGAATAACTTCACTCATCTTCTACGAACTACAAATTTTCTTTAGTTGAAACTTTCATGACTTAGTAGCATCATCATGAGAGCATTGCGATTACGACTTTATCTAGCTTTGATTGTACAGGCGCACAATTGCCAATGCCTTTTGAGTTGCCGCATGCCAACTTTTCCGCAGCATTGACAACTTAATTGTATACCCTGAGGGTTCAGCTCATTCATGACTATGATTGAAAAGGACTTTAACTTTATAACTGGTGCAACATGTTTTTTCGACCATATAAGTCGGCGTAAGCGAGCGAGGTGGTGTTTCAATGATTCGCTATGTTTGTTATTCGTGGTGGAACCACTCCTTCGTAGCTCCTGCACACACTCACGGCCGACAGTTTGGCTCAAATCAGTCTTCACCCGTAGCAATCCTTTTTGTTTCCCTGATGTCTGCTCGCGTAGCTCAGTGGTCATCAGCCGATTAAGGAGACAGGCCGAGAGGACGAGGGACATGTAGGTCGCTGAAGAGGAGTTTCAACAAAGGAGTGCCTAAGAACTCCATGCCAAGTTAACGCAAGAGGCTAAGAGGCCAACCATCTGCTCGACTTGTTACGCATTCTGATATTTCGACGTTGTGTGAGAATACGGCATCCCACTTTTCCAAAAATTGTTCAATTTCAATAAATTGCAAGGAAGAAACAGTTTGCTGAAGTGATTGTGGGAACTACAGTAGCCGAGTAATCCGTCTTCCGACTTGCCCTCCTTTGCTAATTGTTTGTCATGCTATCGTTATGGCTATGGGCTCACATCCAGCTACTAGTTGATTCTCCCAAGAGTGGTGTACGATTTACACATGCCGCCTATCAAATCAAGCACAGACTCAAAATGATTCCAAAAGTCCGAGTTGAAAGGCAATTCCTCGTTATAAGATCTGTAGACTGATGGATTACTCTTGCTTCTTTTCGGAAATGAAAGATGCCAAAATGTGGGACTCTATAGTGATCTCGCTTACATAGCTGAAGGAAATAGTAAAAAAAGTGAAATTCCACTATCAATGATTGCGCTTGGGGCACACTGCTGTCGGACGAATCTACAGAGATTGATTGTGAGCTATAAGGTTCGTTGAAATCTTTTCATTGTGTCCTTATTTTGCGACTCAACACATAGTGAACTATCACTGTGCCAGGACCACCTTTTTTCTAACAATGTCGCATGAATCTGCTGACACTTCTCTCGTTTTTCATAAGACACTATGTCATTACTTGTCTTTGCTTCTGTCAGCTTTTTGTTTATGCAGTGTTATGAGTTGTTGACAACCACGCATAAGAATGCATGCATTCTTCTTTTTTGCACTTATATGTGCTTAATGCAACTAACTAGGTGTTCAAGTACACACCCGGTTTGTAGTTTACTTAATCTTTGAGTTGCAACAAAATCATTGAGAAGGGAAGGTACCTGGAGTGTGTTCTTTTTTCATACAGGGTGTCCCCAAAAAATGTATCGAACGTTTGATCGTTGATATCTCTCTTCCCAAGAAGCCTTTTGCCTTGCTTCAAGTATCGTTTTGTAGAGCTGGCTTCAACTTAGATTTGCTTTATAGAGCGAATCACCCATCTCTCTTCATTACTGTAGGATTACGGTAGAAACTTGAAACATATGGTGTCAATGTGAAAAAAGCTGCCGTTTCAAAATTTTCCAAAAACTGTGAAAACTTGTGTAATAGGGTTTTTATGGACGCTGAGTTCAATAATTAACTATTCACAAGATTACGAAGCTTTCTAAACGGTATAATCGCACTTTTTAGGAACATTGAAAATATGGCCGCTACCTCCTACCCGGCATAACTCTGCAATGAAGCATCATAATAAGTTGGGAACTTTACAGTTATAATCAGCAACTCTAATTAGCCTAGTGTGTTGCCTTTCTAAGGCAAAATATGGCCTCTTATTGCTTAAAACGCTCTTTGGAGTTTCTACCGTAATCCTACAGTAATGAAGATAAATGAGTGATTCGTTCTATAATGCAAATCTAAGTTGAAGCCAGCTCTACAGATTGGTACCTGAAGCAAGAGAAAAGACTTCTTTAGAAGAGAGATATTAACGATCAAACGTTCGATATATTTTTTTGGGACACCCTGTATTTTTCAATAAAGTTTTAGTTCGTTTATTCAAACTAGTTTGTTTTATTTTCTGTGACTAGACACATAACTAGTACTTTAGCTTTCTATCTATTCTGAATAGAGATGTTTTAACAAGCGCACAATCTTTACAGTCTTCAGAACTGTTTTTTAGCATTTTGATCAACTAGACCTCTCGTTCCCAAAAAAGTCCAACATCAAACATAGGGCAAATCGGCCTACCTTGTAAACAAAACAATGAAAACAACATAATGCGCTACTATTTATAGAACATTTATTTAGTCTAATGACGTCTTCTCAACAATCGCATTTTATCCTTTATTCGCGTTAGATGACATTAGAAAAGTTCATTTTTTATAATGCAATTGTCTCGACGCAAACAAAAACTCGTACAATCATTTCCCGTGGGGCAGTATGGAATCAACTTTGCGGAGTTTATGATGTCAACGCTGTTTAAAATAAAGAAAAAGTGCAAAAATGCATGCAAAAAATTCCCAAAAACGGAATCTTACAGCGATGTCGTCACACATAGAAGTTCTCTGCTCTCTATCAGCAACGTTCTTGATTCTTTTGACTTATCATAGTTATGATGGATGTGTATTTGCATAGTCTGATAATTCAATAGAAAGGCGCTAACCTGATTGTTGTCTTCAGCTTCGAGATCTGGTGAATTATTGCTACCCGGAGGTTTCGGCTCTGGACATTCGACATACGTTCTGTCGTTCCATTCAGGCCGCCGCCAGTCTTCTGGTGAACCACAGTTTGATTCGCAGACTCTTGGTGGACCATGAAACTAAAAATGAAGCACTGAACTTCTAATATTTACCTTGCTTTTCTCGTCATATTCCAAGATTTTAATTCAAGAATTTTGGAGAAGAGCATGTATACTAACATATAATACTTTGTGAAGTTCATCCAATAGTTCTTTAAAAATCTCAACGGCAAGGTCGTCAAGCAGTTAGTGCGGCTAAGAGCAAAAGAAAATGAGAGTTGAGGATGTGGATTACTACCGGACGTCAATGTAAGTCCAAGTCGGATCCAAGTTGAAATCTAAGCTCTAAATTTTTTTGGGTCATGCCGTATAATGCAAAAAGCATGTTCGTACGTTACAGTACTCGCGGTCGCGGTTGGGCCTCTTCCGTTGGCGCGCTGCCAAGTGGAGGACCGTTACACCCCGCGACAGAGCATCCGCATATCATTTCGTTTGCCTTCTTTATGAGTGCTTATAGGCTGTGTTTGTATTGCCCTTAACTTTGCTTAACAAGCTCTAAGAAGGTGTTTGCGCAGGCGGGGCAGTAGATGAATTTGGGACAAAGGGTACAAACTGTTATTTGACAAGTTGAGGAAGCAGAACATCTGTGGGAGCGAAGTAGAGATGTACTGTTCCGTATAGACCTGACATCGTGACGTCGGAACTTTGGGAAACCCTGAGTATTGAATGAGATGAGGATATCTAGGCCATCATGGGTGGCACTGGGTGTCGCAGCTCACTCATACAATAGTAGTTAGAAATTGGTAATTATAATGTTTTTGTATTATTTTTGTTCTTCATTTTTTAAATACATACTTGAATATCTATGCCAAGTATATGATCTGAGTTCGCCCTTATTATGGTCGTGCGGATAAGGGTACCACGATGGTCATGGCACCAACTTGCAAGGAGATTCATAATATCCTTGGATCTAAAGATCGTTGCAAGGCAGCAAACGGTAAGAGGTGATGAGCCCACCAAGCTGCAAACGCTGCTTGATTACTAGATTGTTCATGTTTCTTGAATCAAAAGGCTATATGACCTAAATACCCCTCACAACCTTCAATCTCTTCCACATCAGAATTACAGGATCTGAAAACACAACGCTATTGTCGTCAAAACCGCTCATAAGTGCCATGACTCAGATCGTGTTCTTATTGTTATCCTCCAGTACCTATACATGAGACATAGTGGCGTACCCAGGATTTCGGCTCGGGGGGCGGGGGGAAGGCGCGACAAAAATTTCTTTCTAATGAAGGTGCGTGTCGTCAGCCACGCACTCCGAAAGAATTTTTGGGGTGCTTCTCAAAATTTTTGTGGGTTCCCAACCCCTAAAATCTGAAAAAAGGGGGCGTGGCGTCAGCCACGCTTCCGAAAAAAAATTTTTTGTAAGGTTAAAATGAATTTTTAAAAAATTTTAAAGATTATTTTAATTATTTACAAGTGCAGTCAAGTCATTTACACAATTTTATAACCCATGTAAGTAACTTTCAAAAATTTCGCGACTTTCGAAATTTCGCAAATTTCCCGCCCCCCCCCTCGGTACGCCACTGATGAGCCAGGGTGTAAAGTTATCACTAGGTCTTCTGGTTCAAATCTGATTCATCGAAACACTCAGACCCTGGAACATTCGTAAATATCTTCCGTTTCGTCATTTTTCAAAGCTGCAATTTTGATGTGCAAGAAGAATCAAAAATCTTGAGGGATAACAGCAATCATAATAATAGATGACGTAAACGATTTATGATCCTAAAGTTGAAAAATGTGTTATGGTTCCTGGTGCGGATAGCGATGACGTCATATTTTTTGTATTGTTTTGCAAGCGTGAATGATCAGTAGTGATGCTGGTGGTCTATACATTTTATGTTGATTGAAGATTATTATTTTATTTTTACGTTCAAAAATGGATAAAAAGTGTTTATATACAAAAATGACCAGTCTATATCTTTTGTATGTATGATCGTAGAACTATAGCGATTTGATTTTAGTGAGATTTTTCAGATGTTTTTCGGACAATCAAAATTACTTACATATCCAGAGCGAAAGCTTTTTGATGAGAAAGTCCGTTGAAAAACGTTTTTCTTGATCTCTTCCTCCGACATGAATTCTTCGTTCTTCCTGCAAGCAAGAATTATTTTAAAGCAAACAAAACGATTTTCGCTTTCAACACCTTTACCTTGTCTTATGCTTCTCCAGAGTACCAACAACAGCAAGCTCAACTATTGATAGGAAGATATACCCTACACAACCGAACATGAAGAGATCCAAGCCTTTTACGTAGGAAACCTAAAATAAGTGCAAAATATTTGCGATAGATTTTGGAATCAAGAATTTTTGTTTGACTTTGCTCTAGAAGTTATAAACTATTATTTGTCTGTACATCAATCAATCCTGCATAGACTGCAGTGACCTTCTGGACTACGGTAGGTACACGGTATGGAGGTTGAACAAAAATGTGCTTGGTTCATGGCTAGAAGCTTACTGACAAGCACGACAGCATTGATCCTGCCCAGTAAGATAGTTATATGCGGTTACGGTGGGTATAACCGAAGACACACACCCTTTACAGAGAGCTTTCATGTGATTACGGTAGGTATACGGTATGGAGGCCAAAAGAAGAAGTGACCTCCACAACATGGAATATTTGTCGCTTTTCTCGCTGTCAAGACTGGTGTTGATTCTACACAACAAGATATCTTTGAATAGTTTACGGTAGGTACACGGTACCCACTGGATAGTCATACCCTCGCATGCCTGATGTCAGGTAAGAATATACCATGGAGAACATTGAGGTAACCATGGAAAGCTCAAACAAGCTGCGCGAAAGTTTCAAGCATCCGTGACTTTGATCCCCTACCGTAGGCCTACCGTAAAGGGGCCTAACCTCCCATGGAACGACATCGCTAATAATGCAAAAGGTAACTCGGCAACCCGTCCTTACCTTGGGTAAACTCCTAGCTACATTACTGTATTGCAGTGTAAGCGCCATGAGCGATGAAACTCCTAATGTGACCCTGGCTGGAAGACTGCGACGATCCAACCAGAATGAGATCCAACTAATTAACACCTAAATAATAGTACGTGAAAACATGAAACCTTCACTCAAGAAACAAAACTTACCATGCAATAGGTAGGGAGATAGATCTGTAGTATATAAAACCCGTATGAACGTCGAAAGAATAGCTTTATATTGAGCTAGAAATAAAACAAATTTTTCACATAACTTTTTTTTTACAAAAGATTAACTTACCTGATCCCATACCCCTGCAGGATATTGAAATGTTGCTTTTTCGTGGATAAATGTAGTCATGTGAAAATCTGGCAATTTCACTTCATCTATGAACTCCACCGGTTGTCCTTGCCTTTTCCAGTGTAACCGCACCTGCAAAGACGTCGACTCAGTGATGCATGGGATTATTTTTATACAGCTGAAGTTTGTCAAGAAAGTAAAAAGTAAAGCGGAAGGAGGAGGATAAAACAAGGGCGAGTTAAGCAAGATTTGAACACGTTGTAAGTCATAAGGAAATGGAAGGTAGGTGGTTTGAGGGGTTCTCAATTGAAACGACACGAATCTATCACTGAATTGTTAGGCACGGCTTTGGTTACATTTTTGAAAGAATTCTTGGACTTTCTTTAATTTGATAGGCTTATAACCCGAAGATTTTCAGAAATTATCAAATTTCAAAAAGTTTGTCAAATTTTACAAATTATCACAAAAATTTCTTGGATGTCTTCACAGCCACTGTGAAATACTTTCTGAAAAAATTAACTTCTTAAGAAATATGTGAGGGGTAGGAGGAGCGTAAAGTTTATATTAGGTAGATGCAAAAATAATGGCCGTGAACTATGAGCTTTTGAAGCTAAAAGTGACTTTTCTCGCGAATCAATGCAGATACCAGGCTAAAATTCCACAGACATGCTTCCGAGACTTTGTAGTACACAACTTCTGGAGGAAAGGGGCGAAGTTAGAGGCGGAGTTTGTCGAATTTTGATTTTCTTTTTTTTAAACTCTAAGTGAGAGAAAAAAAAATTACAGCATAAAGGTTTATGTGTGTCTACTATGTGATGACCAGCTGGGAGACTTGTAGGATTTTTTCGGGCACAGATGCAATTTTTGAGCGGCCAAATGCTCAAAGATTTTAGCACCAAACTTCACGTAGACTAAATGTTTAGGTATATTTTTGGCAGTCACTTTGTAGAGCCTGCTTGTTCTATCGAATGATACCTCATTCGTAGATTTCTATACTCACATTTTTTGGTAGCGTTTGCTACTGACATTATTTTCGCATCAACCTACTATTATGCCGCATGATGCTAATCAGTAATTAAAAAGAGGGTCACAAATGAAAAATGCCAAACGATTTTTACCTTGCCGACATTGAATGAATAGCTTTCGAATATTGTCGTACACATAACGCGATCCATAGGAAAGAAACTGAAACAATGTTTTTTGACCATTTCTCGCCTTCTCAAACGATATCCCTCCTTATGTAAGTTTTGGCACTTTTTTAGAACAAGCAAGTTGCTTGGGAAACTGCGGATATCTTTTTCCAACATCCGTTAAACATGTGTCTGTATCGAATTACAAGAATGTGATATGCGCATTGTTCCAAACAACAACTGCTTTTGTAACTAACAGAAAGGACTCACCTAAAATCCATTTCGCATGGTGATTCGACGACAATCCTGGAAAATACAAAATAATTTTGATATTAGTGCTGCTGTCAGTATTTTCGTTAGAAACGGAGCACATACCGATAGTTCATCCAAACTGTCCCATTTGGAAAAATGGCAAGGAATATGTTTGGCGTTGGACTTTTATGTATCACCGATCCTGAAAAATGATTATTTCTGTGTTAATAAAAGATTGATTTTTCCGTAATTTACGCGATGTAAAGGCGGGATATGTGCTCCGTATTCTTGTATTGTTCATTATACAAAATTGACTACATAAGAAAGAGAAAGAGCGCTTCGCGGGCAAGAGCATCTTTAAACATTTTCACTACGGTATCAAGTCTCTGATTGGCCAGCACGTCCCTGCTGCGATTGGCTGCTAGCCGACATGCCGGCCAATCACTGGAAAAGTTGTGCGCGGTCGCTGCTTTTTGAATGCAACCTCCGGAGAGGAGTTGAGGAATGGTATGGCGTAAAAGACGGCAATTCAATTCCATACGAGGAAAGAGATGAATTTATATTTTATTTGTTTTTGAAAACTCTACTGTGGGCTATTTTAGTTTTCATTCTTTTCCTGTAAATATTTCTTCAGCTGTTCATCTCGTTTACGGTATTCAAAGGAATATAATATTTTGCTTACCTTTACTGTTTACTATACAGACATTAGGCAGCCAAATATTATCAACCATTCGATGTGAGAGTGAAAGATTTGTAAGGCAGTGAGCACCTTCTTCATGCTAGAAAAATATGATTATTACACTTTGAAAAAGTGAATGTATAATTCTTAGATATTTGCAAATGCGCGTTCGATTATCTTATACGCGCAAGTGTTGTCGTTACCGGTCGCACTGTATTATTCGTCATACTAATGGGCTACATTGCTAATCTGATATAAAAAATCAATCTTATCAACAAACCTCAAACGATAACCCTGGGTCGTGCCAAATTTGACTGAAAAGGATGTGCATAGTGGACGCCGACTGTATTTCTGAAATTTCAGAAACTCGTTGAATTAGCAGTTCGACGTCCACATCGACTCCTTTCATCTTTGGCACCAGATTACGGTCGTACTTCGAGAGCAACTCGGTGAGAATCCTGAAAAAATTATTATTGAAAAAATTTAACTCACACCCAACCAACCCAGCCCCTCTTTCATTTCTCTCTCTCTCTCTCTCTCTCTCTCTCTCCCTCTCTTCTCCTCCTCCCCCTAGTCTTCCACTTAACGTCTAGTCTTGATTTTTCAATTCAGTTGCACTATCGGGCACGCTTCTAGTTTTTTTCAAAATCTTTTGACATATTTAGCAAAAAAAACAAATGGTCTTCGAATTTAGACTTTTGCAGTATTCATATTTACGTCTACGAATTACTCCTGTCAAGAAAGTGCAAACGGAACTTCATAGGAAATGTATGTAACAAAAAGTGAACTTACCTTGTCGCGGCTTTTTCTGCCTGACCAAGAACACAGAACGGCTCTTCAGAAGGGTCATCGATGACTTTTGAGAGAGGTGGTCCGGAAACTGGAATTAAAAATCTACTATCATCAGTTGTTGAAGGTTAATGCTTCGATATACGGTATGTAAAGCCACAAAAATTTTTTTGAATTTTTTTCTCAACAACAATACCTTTTTTCACATCCGCTAATTATTTGTCTGATTGCAACAAAACTTATTAAAAGTGCATTCCATAAAAAATGTAAACATTGAGATGTGGTTACCGAATGCACAAAAAAACATAATTGTTGGATACAAATTTGTCACAAGCGAATTTTTAATTAATCTATTTCGTGATTAATCAAAAATTCGCTTTTCTTTTTTTTCTTTTGACTATGGCGCAAACAAGTCCTAAAAAATAGGATAGAAACACATACCTTGGCAAGTTCCATTCGGTAACTGCACAAAACCTTCACGACATGCGCAAGTTTTGGCACCGTCGTCCCAAATCTTACAGTACGATGAGCGTAGATCACATTTGGCACATTCTAAAATGACCTGGATTATGACATAGCGAAAAATGAAAAATACCAAACAGAAAAAAAGAAAATGATCTATCTAAAATGTCTTTGAAAAATTATTGCTAATGTTTGAAGGTAAGATGTGAAGATGAATAAGAGCAAATTCGACCACTCGCAGTTGCTTTTATGTGGTTAGAAAAGAGTGGAATTTAGGTGATGTGGAGGGGAGGGGGGAGGATAAAAATCTTTTCCCCAAATTCGGCTATATAAGAAAGCTAAAGTACGGGTTTGCTAACTTCAAATGGATGTCTACCGTATTCAATTTCTTTTTACCTTGTATGGCGAGGGATTCTCACTATTTTTTCTTCAAATGGGAAAAATTGTGCACTTACCCTCATCTAATGCTGCAACTAATGAAACAGTGAATGTGAGAATAAAAGTGAATGCCATAGCGGCTATCTACAAAACCGATGTAGCCTTCATAGATCTGAAAAAATCTAAGAATTGGTAGCCCTTGTTCTGCATGACAATTCGCAAGCGAGCAAAGAAAGAACGCTAAAAGCTATCGAAAATATACTTGTCATGCACAAAATGTAAACGAGTAAAAAATGGAAAACATTGATGCTATCAACTCTATAGGGCATTTTAAAAATCGTGACAATGGCGCGACCGCGCGCAACACGCACACCACTTCCGAAAATCGCATTTTCTTGGTATTCATCTCTAGTCGAATGGTTTTTTGCTTACATATGGCAAATATTTAGACACTGGAAGTAACTGAGTTGAACGTTAAGGTGATGCCTTCTTGTATGAGCGTTTTGTGCGTTTGTGGGCGCAATGTCCGCAGCAAAAACCATCGTTACGATTTCATAGATGAACTATATCAACTCCAAGCACCGCCCACAGACAAATCGACAACCTATAAGACTGTGCAGCTTCTAACATGTTTATTTTTTTGTCAGAAATACGGCATCAGCTGGCGAAAAACTTGAAGATTCAAATGCCAATCACATCGGATATCATAGATGAGTCAAATAAGTGGGTAGACATCTAATATTAATAGGGATTAAGCAAAAGTCTAGCTTCAGCATGCACCGGATTCCTGCACGTCTGGTTACCACGCAGTGTTAGTCACGAAAGTGATACTGGAATGGATTTGAAAATGATATGAAATGAATGTTTAACACAATTACAACAAAGCCGATTTTTGGATCACTGCCATTTCGGACCAGAGCATATTTCATAATATTGAGTTTGCGAAACACTTTCTGGCCGCTGGTGAGTCCAATGGTCTGAAGAGTTAATCTTCTGGAAGGTATTCCAAGAAATATATATTCAAATCTATTCAATTTGCTCCCATCGTTAACTAAGTAAAATCAAAAACTTGAGAAAACGTACGACCCACCGGTGGGTCGTATTGTCCGGAAGACGGGACACGCACGACCCACCGGTGAGTCGTATTGTCGTGATCGCGCTAAGAAAGACGTAATGAAATCCGGCTCTGACGGAGGTTCAGAGCATTATGAAACCGAAGTACCGAAAAAGATACCTTTATCCTTGTGGACAATCTTCATGTAGAAACTATTTATATAAAATAATTCTTGTAATTTTTTAGAGTGTTAAAACTCAGACATATCAGATATTGTCTTCGAAAAACATCCATGCGGACAATTCTTCGTAAAACTAGAAATTTGCTTTGTGTTTATTGTGTCAAATCTTCTTTGAGCTATAAGAAGCAGAGGAAATGAAACTGTAGGATGCTGAAGAAATGACAGTAAGAACACAAGTTATTGACGAGAACAGTGATACGATTTCAGCTTAGAATAAAGAGTAATATACCAACTAACCAATGCTTTTTTTTCAAGAAGTACTTTATGATGTGATTTGCATACACTTTTGAGCAACTCGCACATGAATGCTTGAAACTTCTCGTCTTCCGAAGTTCAGGAACGATAAAGCCGAAAATAACTAGAAGCGAACACTAAAAATCAAAAACTAGGAGGGCTAAATGACAGGCTTTGAATCTTTGTGAAAAAACAGTTGAAGCAAAGCGGTGAAAATTTCAACAAATTCAGTAATTTCGGCGTCCTTTATTTTGACTTTGAAAAAAATGAAGTCAATTTCAAAAATGAAGTTGAACCAAAGCAGTAACGTTGTGCAAAATTGGAAATAGAGAAAAGGGGCTGTGTGAAGCTTTGTCGAAACCTTTGAGCTTCTCTTGCCCAACCATTTATGATCACTATCACCCCCATCCCTAAAATTCAAGTAAGCTTGCCATGTCATTTATGTCATATATGTGCTTTCTATATTTTTTTCGATAATTGACGAAAACGTTGCGGGTTTCAAAGTTCGCAAATAATGTAGCGGAAACGACTCGATAGCAGGAAGTCTGAAAAAACTTCTGATTGATTCTGACACGCAAGACATGGGAAAAATAGAAGAACTGCTTTCCATAAATGAGTAGGAAAGAAGCATTATGTCAAGAAAATGACCTCGGAAGAGTAAGAGGAGTAAGGGATTGAACTGAACGTAGAAAAATGAGAATGAAGCATTTGAGGAGAAGTTGAGACTTCTGAAAGGATGAAAAAATCATCTTGAGTGCTTTGACCAAGAAAGGGCAGAAGCAAAAGAGTACGACACAACATGTTGAAAATGAATTATGGTACACCTTACGGCTACGTGAATACATACTCGTGAATACGTAATCAAAGTACCTTACTTCCCCTCCTCCTCCCTCCCCCTTTCGCCTTCCCCCTTTTTTCCACTATCGATTCTGAATTATTATGTCTAAAGTTGTGAGCAAGAAGAGGTCAACAACACCAAGCCGAAGGAGTTCGCTCAACAGGGTGTAATCGTGTAAGATCTCAGGTTTCAGGATCAGTTGCCCCTCTAAACAGCAGGACATTGCTGTCATGAAGAGTATAGAATTTTGTAAAGTATGTTAAAAATATGGAGATATGTATGGAACCAGTTTGTAATGTTCTCCACATAATCACTTCACATCAGAGTATTAAATATGAAAATTGTGTTGTATTTCAAAACTACTAGCTTTTCAGACACCCTCTAGCTTAACTACTAGCCTTCCAGACACCCTCTAAACTTTTAGAGGGTGTTTAGAAGGCTTCCATTTCTCTACTTTGCTAAAGTTATTGATTGTTTCAAATTTTATTGTAACGTTCAAAATTTTGGTGATCTATTTCAAAGGATTGTAAATCGTGTAATGTTTATGGCCTATAAAATCTCTGAAATTAGTATTTCGTTCGAGTGTAAACGAAATTGATAACGTCGTAAATGGCTGAAGTTTGAAGAGCTTTAATCTTCTAACAAGGGCGAAAAAATTTAAAGCCAATATTGTATCACAAGAAGAGCTAGCATATTTGCTTCAAATTTGTTTTTAGACGTGTATAGCTTTCAGCTGTACGACTTTCATTGCCACCCCGATACCGTAATTCTTGATCTCTACCTTATTTCAATTATGAAGGAGAGTTTCATACAAATTTTTTAGATTGAGTTAGGTTGGTGCAAAAGTAATGCGCGTTTTGCGAGTTCTCACTTTGACGTGCCATAACTTTCTAAAAATCCAAATTTTTCAGTGCTGCAAAGTTCATCAGAGGCATCAAACCTCTCTCTATACAGCGCACATTAACTCATGTTAACATCGCAAATCGGTGGAAAAATATGGATTGATAAACAAAAAAATTTTTTTTCGGAAACCTTGTTTTTAACTGATCTTAACTTCCTTCAAGATTTGTCGGTATAAATGATAAGTTGACTGTCTTGTAGCCGCAAGCCAGTAGTATAAAAAAAGTACAAAAAAGCTCAAATAAAGAATATTTGCGAAAAGGAAAAAAATAATATTCGAAATTGTCCGCTTTTTTCGACATTTTTTCGTAGCCCTCAAAATCCCAAAATATGGAGATTCTTGATTTTCTGTGTACTGAACAGCTTCCACATTTCTGCAAAAACTGTCAACAGGAGGCCCACCCTTACGCTTACAGAAACGAGCAAAACTTTGGCGATTGCCCTCTTCAAAGGAAACTTATGGGACACAGAATGGCCAAAACCATCACTCATGTTGAGGCGCCGAGATCTCAGTCTAGGAAAACTGTAAAGCATGCATAACTTAGAAAATTTCTACTTCATACAGCAGTTAAATTTTCAGAATAATGCCTTTACTCGCGCTTGAAATCTGGCCGAAAAAGTAAGCCCAATATAATTCTGGTTTTGAGTGCGGTTGTATGAAGCTCTATAAGTTTTTAACGAATGAGGCTAGAAGCTTCTTTTAACCACCACTGTATATAGCGTGAGAGAATCTTCTTAACAGTATGCTGGGTACATTTCATAGGAGAAACTTCGATGGAGAAAAGCTATCTTGAAGCAAGGGCTAGAAAAACGCGCATTACTTTTGCACCAACCTAATACATTGCTAAAAATTTCTTGTGAGGGTTACAAGCAGCTGAATTCATACAAGCCTGCTGCACATCCAAGACAGTTTCAGGCCATAATTCTAAACTCTATTTGTCAATTAGATACAAATTTGTGCTCTATACCCTGTGGTATTGAAATTCTGTAAGTTTTTCTGTGTAAGTTATTCTATTTTTTTCCTAGGATGTGTTGAAATAAAAAGATAAATGATTATGTGCATATATACATGTCAATTTGTAAAAGTCATGCACCAAAGGTTCTGAAAAATTTGTTCAAAGAGCTTACACAGCTTTGAGAAATCTGTATAATATCTTTTTTATTGTATTAGGTCGTTCCATAAGTTCGTAGCGTTTTTATGAACCAACAAAATCATCAATTTACAGTAAAAATCAATCAGGATTATATTCCTCGTTGTAGCGCACGACCATTTGGCACATTCTTGTTAGTTTCGTAATCCCAATTTTTCAAACGGCAGCACGCCGGGTCCCAAGCAAGTCATCTAACCAGCGCTAAAACTATTTACTGAAATGGAGACATGCACCATTTATGATGTTTATTAGAGAAAGGAGCAAATGATAATCTGATAAAGCAAGGTTTGGAGAGTATTTTGGATACTGAAGTACCTTCCAATCAAATCACGCAGGACAGTTTTGACGACGTTTGCCGTATGACGCCATGTTTCGCCATGCGGAAAAACTCACTGGATCTCTCTGCTAGGCTTTTTCTGCGGTAGGACCTGGTTTATACGGTGCAGTTGCATTGGTTACGGTATGTTTGACCATTTCCAACTTGTACAGCAATTTTCAGTGCAGGACGTCCTGCCCGCCCCTGAAAAGTCTTGTACAGGGACACCCTGCTCAGCCCTTGATCTTTTGTAGCAATCGAATTCTTTTTTGTCCCATATTGATGTGCGAGCGCCATGTTCCATATTCAATAGAAAAATCTGTGCAAAACGCTTTTCTTCATGAGGAAAAATGCGCAAATGCCGAATTTGCTACTTTTTGCCTTTCAAGATTTCCATCTTTGGAAGCTACAAGATCCAAGTGAATCAGTTTTTCACTGG